GATTTTTTACTAATGCTATCAATACTGATACTCTAATTTTTATCATAGATATCATATTTACTATAGTGTTATTTACATTCTTAACAGCAACATTAGATACCAGAAAAGATTTTTGAAAATCAAAGAAAAGGTTAAACACGTGAGACAGGTAGTACTAGTCATTGGTTCATTGATTACTCAGTACTTGTGGAGCCATCTATGTCTAGAAATAATTACTAAATTAAACCCACTTAGTGGGCATGGCATGCATGCACATGCCATCCCTGGTGGTACTGGATTAAGAAGACTAAAAATCTTCTGAAATCATCTTTAATATGAAATTAATGGCTGTGTTATGTGCAGGATATCAACAAATAAAATACAAACATATATAACTCTGAAGCAGTGTACTGTGATCAATGCACTCGGTACCCCAAGCTATGAAATTGAAAAAATCACAGATCACAATATAGCATATATCATACAATAACACAATACTATCAAGGCTCTTTCTTATTTCATAATTTTATATCATCATCCATATAATTGCAGCAAAATATTAAACAATGAAAAAAAATAAAAAATTAACTAAAAGATGCCTTACTTTCTGAACCAAAAGTGGAAATGTGTGAGGAGGTCATGCCAGTACTTGCACACATACGTCACGGAACGCAAAAGGTCCCTTGCAGGGACAAAGGAGAAGATGATGTAAAGAATCTCTTCTGGGACAATCTTTTCATGGAAACGAGCTCCATTACCTGCAAAAAGAGACGTGAAGAGAAATACTTGAAGCTACTGTATTTAGCTGTGTTGTATGGTTCTCCCTCTCTTAAGTTCAATATATTTCCTATTAAGAATGATAAGCATAAGTGATTGTAGTCAATATCTTTGTTTTGTGTGATTTTCCACTTACTGAAGTACATCTTAAGGGTAATCTTACATTATTCTTAACTTACTTTTCAAAAACTATGAGTGTGCAAATATGCAAGTTAATATTATCTATACATATATTTCTACATCAGAAATTTCCTTAATTTACTTACCTTCAGGAATATCCTCACTTTCTCTAATGCTAGTATTGTTCCCCATTTCATCCTGATAAGAAGAAAGAATAACATTTTTGTTATTTATAATAAATGAAAAAAATGTAAAAAATAGAAAGAAAGAAAGAATCTATATAACTATTCATCCATATATCTTTAAATATATCTATGGCTATATCTATCCATCTATCTATCTATATATATATATATATACATATATATATATATATATATATATATATATATATATATATATATATATATATATATAATATATATATATATATATATATATATATATATATATATATATATATATATATATATATATATATATATATATATATATATATATATATATATATATATATATATATATATATATATATATATATATATATATATATATATATATATATATATATATATATATATATATATATATATATATATATATATATATATATATATATATATATATATTATATATATGTATATATATTATATATGTATATGTATATATATATGTATATACATATATGTGTATATATAATATATATATTTGTATATTCATTCATTTATTTAAATATAAAATTATAAAAGACATCCCAACTAAAGTATATTCCTTTCCTGATATCCCTTTGACCAGAGTTATCACTAAACATAAACCTACTGTCAACATGCCATACACCAGTATGGTAAGTAATTTATCACTTCTATACTTAACTGAGCACCTTCCTGGCAATACATCAGTTCATAATAGCTTAAATATATGTTATGTCATTCCATTCCCATGATTTAAAAAAATCAACACTTGTCTAAGACATGTCATATTAATGAACATCTTCCAAGCTTCAGACTGCTTTCTCAAATGAAAACATGCTAGAATCTGCCCTCCTCCCATGCACACGCACAACCTCATACTAATAAAGTATGAATACCAGAAACAAAGGCGATAATTCACACTGCTTGCTGAATCTTCCCACTATATTGCCTCTCTCCCTAACGTGGTGCAATCTCATGCAACTTGACAGAAGAAAAAAACATTTATCCAACCTTTTCAAGAGGTAATTTGGAGTTATTTATCAAAGTATACACATTCCATATTCACATTAGGAGGCAATTATCACTGACAGACTTAAAATGAAATAAAATAACTGATTTCTTATCTGATTATCAAGACCCAGTCGAAAATATGACTCTAATTACGTCCATACACCACTTATTCAAAAAGAAACATTGCTTAACTATCTGAAAAAAAAATACTTACAACCTGTATTAATTTCTTGCCACTTTAATCGAGAACTGAAAATACGAGAAAAACATTAGAATACACCACGAGAAAAAAAAAATTATATCCGAACATACTTCACGCAAAAAAGAGAAAACGACATAGTATCAGACTAACAGTAATGAATAACTGACACTTATCAAACACCTACTGGCATTAACTCTGACAAAGGATGCCATAATCTGTGTAAAAATAGATAAAACCAGTTCCGGTCCTACAGTCACTTCCTTCGAGTCAGCTGATGATGTCAACAACGCGTTCGGGCAAGCCAATGACGTCACGGATATCCGCTAAAATGAGGAGGAGGAGGAGGGAGGAGGGAGGAGGAGGAGGAGGAGAGGAGGAGGAGGAGGAGGAGGAGGAGGAGGAGGAGGAGGAGGAGGAGGAGGAGGAGGAGGAGGAGGAGGAGGAGGGAGGAGGAGGAGGAGGAGGAGGAGGGGAGGAGGGGGGGAGGGAGGAGGAGGAGGAGGAGGGTTGGGAAGAAGAGGAGGGAGGGGGAGGAGGAGGAGGAGGAGGAGAATTTTGATTATTTATTAATTTTGGCAAAATCAAATACAATGCAAATATAATAGTTTAGGTTACATTATTATTGAAATATACATTCTACTTGAAACACATCAAATAACATAGAAAATAAATCCAGTCACATGTATATATCCAATCCCAGATATACAGCCGGTTTGTTAAAATTGTGCCAGGCCCGACCTAATGAATTTTCATAAATACAGATGCAGAAATAAAGGCATATCTGTCTATATATCTGATAGATATACATTTAACCATCTATTTCCCGGGTTGATATGCATGTCTAGACTGATAAATATGCATTTATTTCTTTATTTATGCATGTCAAGTATACGAACAGACAGCCGAGCACTCAATATAAGAACAAGAAGCACTCACCATGCTACACAATTTCATGGGTTTTTCTTAAGGTCTACTTGCCATACTGAATAATAATACTGAACTAAAAAAAATGCCGTTTTAGTGTTATTAAAAGATAAAAACTTCGACAAACACCAGAGCAGGTGAAGGCAGAGTGTTATGTTGGGGATTTCTGCGCAGAATCTTTCTATATAAGAGAATCTTGGAGTTCAATTTATAAACACGACCTCGACCAGACGAACAATTAAACACAAAATAGTATAAAAATGTCCACTATTGATTTAATAATAACACATCATTTATGCCAGACCAAATCCAAGCAAAAAGTAAAAAAATAGGAAAATGGTTATGTATAAATCAAACAAATAAAGCGGTCTTGGTAAAGCATTTTATACGCAGAAAAGCAACACAGGATGTCATGGATTCAGCTGAAAGGTCAAGTGTTCATAACGCCCTGATGTCTATTTCCGCAGTTTTTTTTTTTTCAGAAACAGGATCGCTCACTTTAAAATGCTTTTATTACCAAGTGATTGAGGATATTTCTGGAAGTGAGCTGGTTTAAATGATGCTCAAAAACGGTGGTGATAGAATAGTGAGTACGACAGTTTTTACGGAACATTATTGTCACGCCGTCTGGCAGCGGAGTGTCGTCTTCTATACGGACACGGTGGATTAGGAATAAATTAAATACGTTATTAAGAGTTAAGGGCACTATAGAAGACGCCCTAAGTTAATCCCTAAGTGAATGCATCAGATTATGACGAAAACGGTAAATTGATTTTTTTTCTTTTTGTCTGTAGGGTTACAGCAACCTTAAGCAGTCGTGTTTTATGGTAAAGTAGTGTTGTGTGTGTGTGTGTGTCCGGAGGGTTATAGTAACCTTCAGCAGTCATGTCTTGTGATAAAGTAGTGCATTTTATATGTAATCTTTAATGTACAAACTGATAACAGCTTAGTTTTTTAAACATTTAGGATGATTTAATGGTTGTTAAATGCCTCTGAAAACCGGAAATCCCCCCCCCCCAAAAAAAAAGTAAAATCTGAAGTCCCGGAAATCTCGTCGGCTATTTTGAGTGGTGAAATGCCCCTCGTGAGAGCCCTCGTCTTGAGGCTGTTTCTTATGAAGTTTAATATACCACGCTGTTTCCTAATTTTGCTGTTGACAGTCTGAACGTGACTGGTCCACTTCGATCTGCCGTTGATGGTAAGGGCCACAATATGTTTTGGTCACGATTAAGTGTCTTTACTTTTAGGACTTGAATATTTTCGGCTAATCTTTTGTTTTGTACATTAAGCTTTTTTACTTTTACCCAGTTGTCTACCAGAATAAGTTCAGTGTTTGCAGTATGCACAAGAAACACTGATACACAAACTGCTATTGTCGGCAAGCGCGCAAACTTTAATTTGCAGCTGCAATTTACAATATCGTTGACGAATCTCAAAAATAGATGAGGACCTAGAAATGAAGCCTGAGGAACACCATGTGATATTTTGGAGGGTTGTGACTTGTGTTGGCTAAAGTATACAAATTGTGATCTATTTGAGTCGTGTACCATATGCCACAGTGTAAAAGTTTTTTTTTCTCTCATTAACAGGGCACAATTCACAATCTCAAAAGCTTTGCCGAAATAAAATAAAAATCTTCCATGATAAATTCTTTGTCAAAAATTTTCAATATATAGTCTGTGAATGACAGTGCTGCAATTTCAGTCGACTTACCCTTACGGGAGGTAAATTGTGAATCTAAAAGTTCTTTCTTGGTTCTTACAACATTCACCAACACTGTGAAATACTTTTTCAATGTAAGCTTAAGTTTAGGAATATACTTGAGGTAAAGGAAAGAGTGAATGTAAAGGCTAGTTTGGGTGCTATCATATGTATATATATATTTTTTTATCAATATGGTAGAAATTTCATCAGGACCCGCTGAGCCATTCTTTAACTTATTCATAATCATAATCACTTCAGAGGAAAACGATTCAAAATGACGGTTTGGCAAATAAGCATTGTTAACGTCGGAAATATCAGGGGTATTTTTTGCCCGATTTTTTTTCCTACGAAGGAGAAATATGTATTAAAACTGGTTGCAGTGTCACGAGTTTATCAATGTCAAGAATTTATTGTTTTTTTTCCATCGACATATATATGGGTAATGTTATCTTTGTGTTCATCCTTATGAAGAACTTATTACCTCCGACGGTTTGCTGGAGTTTCCAATATTTCAAGTTTGCTGTTAAGTGATTGCGTATCACTCTATACATCAAATAGGTTGCCTAACAAATTTATATTGATGCTTGACAAATTTACGTTCAAGTTCATTCTTTTTTCCGAGATCACGGCCTTTATTCCATAGGATATGTAGAGTTTTTTCTAATAATTTCGGTTTATCTCATTTGGATTTGGAAGAAAATAATATAAATGACTTGAAAGCATACTTGTGAACTTCTCCATACTTGAATTAACGTTACTAAGAGCAAAAATAAGGTTCCATAAAACACTTTGAAGATAACTGACATAGTGGCCAATTTTAGCAATTAATGGGCCTCTATATTGAACATTTTATCTGTGGATGGAGGAGAACACTGATATTTGAACAAAGCATAAGCGGGTAAGTGGTAGGAAGTCTGAGTATATGATGCCATTGGTTATATTATTTGTGCCATTTGACCATATAAGGTCAATGAGCGAAGCAGAGTCTTTGCTAACACGCGTTAGTTTGGTAATTACAAGGAATAAGAAATTTTCATTAAAACCGTGTCACTTCGAACACTTGGGGGTCAGTCTGTTTCACTGAATAAAAGTTAAATTCACCAGTCATATCAATTACCTTTTTATCTATACTATTTAGTATACTTGCAAGTTAACTAATAGATAATCTGAAGTCTATTTTAGAACGTCTATATATCACGCTGTTAATGGCCTCATCTGCTGACGCGGCAGGTAATTTCAAATAATTATCCACACCAATAATGTTGTCTTTACCATATTCATTCTTCATTTCAGTGAAAAGTGCTTCCGTTTAGATTTTTCTTCGCTGTTAGTTCCTTTCGAGCTGAACTATTATGAGCACTTTTTAACGTAAATTGCCACGCCACCCATTGCCCGTGATACACTAAGTGGGTATTTACAATAATTAAGGATATCATTTGTGTCTTCGATAACATCCGGGAGTTTATTTTCACTTCAAAAGAGGTGGATAAGAGTTCAGTGTTCAAGTTAACGAATTCCTCAAGATTTTCGGGTACACTATATTATAATCTAATATTAACATACAACCAAAATTGTTACTCGTTATATCACCATCTGGATACATGTAACTGCATATTGGATTTTCGTTACTGTCAATACTAACAACAAAAGTCGTCCGGCTTCTTGTTGCAGGGAAGGTTCAGCAATCTTATGCAATACGTGTAGAGGCAGCGTGTCTTTTGAAGTAAACAATAGCGATTGGAATTCTGCATTATTAATAATATCTCAAACGGGAAAACATGACAGTGAAAACATGGTTGTTCCTGATCATTTTGCAGATATTTTACTTGCCTTGATTATATTAACTTGATTATGATAATGCAGTGTGGATGGTACAGCTATTTAGGCATGTATATAACACTAATGTTTGACTGATATCCCTCTACATAAATAAAAGCACAGCCAGTTTGGATAGATGCTTTTGTATCTTAATCTGGATTTTTGCTACGTATGTACACTTTCTGTAAAAAAAAAAAAAAAAAAATGTTATCAAATCAAGTCAATCTTTCTCTCTCCCTTACAGTGACAGATAGGGATACATGTATGATTTTCATTTTTTTCTTCTTTTTCATTTCCTTTAATGAATCTCAGTTCAGTTCGGTTTTACCTTGGCTTACCAGAAAAAAATATATCTAGAATTATGTAGTTGGTAACAATAAACGCATCGTGTTTCCTTCACAAGCGTTATTTTCCCAAGCAGACGATGCCAAACCTTAAACACTCATCATGTGATCGAGAGAGAGAGAGAGGAGAGGGAGAGAGAGAGAGAGAGAGAGAGAGAGAGAGAGAGAGAGAGAGAGAGAGAGAGAGAGAGAGAGAGAGAGAGAGAGAGAGAGAGAGAGAGAGAGAGAGAGAGAGAGAGAGATGAGAGAAGAGAGAGAAAGAGAAATAGGAGGGAGGAGAAAGAGAGAAATGGGTGAGAGAGAGAGAGAGTTGACTGTTTTCTTAATGTATGAACTATTTTAATTTTCTATTGTAATTACCCTCTCATATATATATATATATATATATATATATATATATATATATATATATATTATATATATATATATATATATAATTATAACACACATGTATATATACATGTCTGTATGTATATGTATATATATGTGTGTGTGTATATATATATATATATATATATATATATATATAATAT